CATCTATTTTGTATTTCTTTTAGTGGATTCTCTTCACTTCTAGGTCTCCCAATTGCCGTTTGTGTGATAGGTTTTTAATTATTTTACGATTTTTTATGTAGGTGGTTAGGGCGGATTTAGAGATTTTTTGTCTGTGAGTGCATGAGTTTGTTGGATTGAAGAATTTTGCTGCCGTCGAATGTAGTTATCGTCGAGGGTTTTTGGCCGAGGTTCCACCATGAATTGGGAGAAAGTTGTTTGCTGTCAGAATTCACGGCCACGATCTCGGCCTTGGTGCGACCGCGAAAGTAGAAAGCTAAAATTGACCAAACTAGGTTCTGTCATATTTTTCGGTTTCACCATGGTCGAGATCGTGCCCGGGAATTATGGCAGAATTGAGAACGTTTGAACGAGAATAGCATTCTGCCATAATTCCTGGTCACGATCCTGGTCATGATCCTGGTCACGGTCTCGGCCATGGTGGAATTGAGAAATATGACAAAATGGGTGCATGAGATTTCTGTTTCTCCTTCCTTATTTGTTTATTGTTGTTTCTGTTATGCCTTTGTTTAACATGTGTATTTGTACTTAGGTGAATACTAAGTATGCATATATTGTTATATTTCAGGTTTATATGAAGGAAATGGTACCTAAAATTCCTCCGTCTAGCTATTAGTCTGCAAATTTGACTTGTCTATCCTACATAGGGAGCACGACCAAGGCTATTAAGAGTAAACTAACTCCTAGGCAATTTAGTATGTTTAGGAAGACCATTTTTGGTCATTTGATAGATGTGGAGCTTGCACTTAACGACCTACTTATACACAACCTACAGCTTAGGCAACTCGTGGATAGTCGACCGGACGTTATTACTATGGACGTGCTTCGTAATAAGATATCTTTCGTACTGAGGGAATTTAATCTCATTATAGGCCTAGACTATAGTAGGCGCCAGATTCATAAGGACACTTTTCTCAAGAGGCTTAGAGAGTTGTACTTTGAAGACAAAGTAGACATTTTACTTAGTGAGTTCGAGACGAGATACTTGGATATGCAGTTTGAGAATGACCTGGATGCAGTGAAGGTATCCATGGTATTCTTTGTGGAGCTTGTGCACTTTGGGAGGAAGAGGAGTCTTAAGATGGACACTACTAGGAATTGTGGATGACCTAGAGGTGTGTTGTAGTTATAACTGGGCTGAGACGTCTTTCGAGAAGAACATATGGAGTCTAAAGCGTGCTTTGGACAAGAAGGTGAAAAATGGGGGATTGAGGAAGACGTATAGTCTGTACGGTTTTCCATGGGCATTCCAGGTACAATTTTCCATGTGGTTCATGTTTTCTTTTTCTTTTGTAATACATTATGTTCCTTTTGTGTGACGTTATACTGTGGCTTGTACAGGTGTGGGGATATGAAACGATATCTTCGTTGCAGGTCGTGTTGCACATCCAGTTAGATCTGATGCCATCCCGCGCATACTTAGGTGGAAACGCGGTCATTCACCTGCATGGGTTGTTCTAGAGAAAGAGATATTTCAATCTACATCTGTAAGTTTTACACGAAAAAATGTATACCATATGGTGTTTATTTGCATATAGTGCAGCATAATGCGTATTTATATCTACAGGCTAAGGTTGTTATACGATTGTTTGCAACAGAAGAGGAGGAAAGGTTCATGGGAAGGGTATTCGACCCACCAGCCGTTGATGATTTCGTTGCGGAGGAGCCGACGCCCGACCAAGTGCTGCCTCCAATGGAGGCTGGTGTGCAGGATGACGCACACATGTTCATCCTGAGATTGTGATGATGGACGAAGGGGTGCATGGTAAGGTGAAGGCCAAAATTGGGAAAAAGCGACGGTGCAAATGCAAGTCTAATTTGAGGATCCTCACTGAGCAGGTAGCTGCAATGGATATGTAGCTTGTCGGTGTAGAAGAGGTAGTCTCTTCTATGGACAATAGGGTTGCCGGTATGGAAGGCGACTTGAAAACCATTCGGAAGTTCCTTCGTCGTCTAGTTAAGGTGCGTACCAGTTCAAATATTTCCATTGTTGTGAAATGATTATGATTTGACACTTCTTTCATTGTATGCAGGGGCTACCAGTCGACACATCTGATCTTAGAAAAAAAATATTGGTGGCAACTGCGAATGAGATGCAGACGGCACTAGAGGTGGTAGTTGCCCGAACATGAAAGAGCGTGTGTTGGATGGTAATAGCGGAGAAGCTGGGGGTGGTAGTAGTGAGGTACAGGAAAACACCGATGCAAAGGAAACGGAACCTGAAAAACGGAGTTTTGACATCGGTCAGGATTTGAGGGTCTTAGAGGATCGAGAGGTAGTTGAGGTCCGAGCTGTTGCAGTGGAGGTTGGATCTGTTATGAAGGAAACTGATCCCGTGGTTTCTGGGGAGGTCACAAAGGTCTCAAATGATATTGACGAAGGGGTTGGTTCAGATACGAAGTAGTCCCATGCTCAGGAAGAGCGACTTGTTGAAATACCAACCGCTACTGAAGCCGATGCTGAGGTACCACTTCCGCAGACGCCCGAGGTAACTATGAATTACAATATACTTCATCGTGTGTTATTGAATATGAGATAACTTAATTAGTTGTTTAGGACATAAGCATGGACGACTTCTCGGAAACGGACTCGAACGAGCTAATTGAAGTACACTCGCAATTGTCGGATAGCTCGTCAGCCATGGTGCCAGATGAATCACAGGACGTTTGTGTACTATCCCAGCCATTTGATCCTCCTCCATGTCGTGGTGAACGAAAAAGGAAAGAATCGTGGAAGCTTCGAGGGTCATTCGAAGTTAAGGTGGGCGGCAACGTAAGAAGGTGATGGTTTACAATCCTTTAGCAGCGATTCCGAGGGAGCAAGGTAAGAAATTTCAGGCCTAACTAGATAACCCGAACAACCGCCGTTCAACGCGGACGACGGTCTACGCAAAACGAGGAAAGCAATGGTTCTGCGACATCTTAACACCGCATAAATGAAGTTCGTGCGAGGTACGACCTAATTCCATACCATATACACCTTACGCGTACATGTAGAATTCTGACTATGTAACTGTATCTGACAGGTAGTCGATTCATTGGTCATGTTCGTGCGCAAGAAGCTAGAATTACGTACAGACTTGTGTCATTGGAGGTTTATCACTGGTGACGTGGTACTCGCAGTAAGTTTCCATACTCACTTAGTATATTTACGACCACGAACGATCTGATACTCACTCAGTTTCCATACTCACTTTCATTTATTTATAATATTCTCTATAGAACTTCCTTAGGAGATCTGATGGAGTGTACGCTTGCATGGAGTCTCATGATGCCATTTCTATGAGGGTTGCACTTGATTATGACTGAGAGGGACGAGCAAAGACTATTATGAGCTACATGGACGGTAATCACCCGGACTACGAGACACGGTGGATGAATGTTGATGTCGTATATGTACCATACAACATCGGTGGTACACATTGGATAATGGTGTTTATAGTCTTCGAAGAGGGAGAGCTTATCGTGTGGGACTCGTTCGTTGCCATGACTCCGCTGCCAGACTTGGAACATGCGTTAAAGACCATGAGTTGTATTGACCTGGCACTTATATGCAAGGCCGGTGTTCGGTTGAAGAGGTCGGATATACCAATCATGCCATGTCGGATCCGTAGAGTTTCATCAACACCCCAGGAGGGAGATGGTGATTGTGGGATTTTCTGTGTCAAATACTTTGAGTACGATATTACTGGTTGTAACATGGATACCTTAACACAGGATCGGATGCCCTACTTTAGGCGACAATTTGCCGTTTAGATGTGGGCAAACAAATCCATCCTTTGAACAGTTTTACTGTAATCCCGTTACTATACTAATATCATTGTAGGCAAAATTGAAACAATAAAATATTATATGTAACATTAATTCCAAGTCCAAAATGTATTAAAAACATGACCGTGAATTACCATGTTTTTTATGGCCATGAAATATATAATTTCAGGGTTTTAACATGTAGTTGGTAGAGCAGCCTCGGGCGTGGTGGACGAAATTCACGACCGTGAATTTTTCCAGATAGCATGTTGGCATAACATTTTTAACGCAATTCAAGCCCGGGAAATATTCAAGATTAACATTTTAGGTATGGACGCGACATCAAAAGTTGGCATAACAAAATAAGCAGGGTAGAAAGGTTTACATCATAGTATAACGTTACAACGAATC